TAAGTAAATCCAAACTGTTAAAATAGTTGAACAATTCAAAAGATCAACATCATATTGTATGCGACATTTTATTGACTAATCGACTAAAATCCTTTTAAGCAATGAAAGAAAAATTCCATGCAAGGGAAACGACTCCTAAAGACCAAACTAAAATGATCTGTCAAATATTGATCATGATTTTGATTAAAGTAGAATTTATCTCAATCGCGTCAAGAATATCGTCAATTGTATGCTCTTCTTCGTCCTTCCCTATATTGATAACGGTGTACTCACTTGTTGGATTAGTAATGTTGTAATTTGTGAGCTTGATGTCAAACTTCAACGTCATTCCCTCAATTTGTATAATGATGGTAATGACATACTTGTTGAAGTGCACAATATTCTTTAGGTGGTTAATGCAAAATCTCCAAATTATTCATTCAATAATACATAACAGTGTCATAAGGTAAGATAGGTGGCCAAAAGAAAAACGTAGTCTCATGTTCAGTTTTTAATCTAAGACACCAATGTCTTGGAATTTGTTTATGTTAACCCTATTTAATTTAATATTGTACTATGTACGGAAGCTTTTTTTTTTCTTTAGTAACAAAATATATGCATTGAACGAAAAATAATATAAATTATGTTGTTGAATATTAAATATCCAACTTGGCATCTATATTCATCAACGTACTAATATCAAATCCACTTTCATGTCAATAATGGTTGAATTACCACTTTGTTGTTGTTTTTAATCTTGTTGTACATTTCGCATAAGTACTCGTCAGAATCTTCATCGAGTTTTGTGGACAGGTTTCACATCCAACATAGCACCACCAATTCTTAACTTTGGTAACTTTGCCTTTGACGAAATACATATTTTCCTACACATTATAGAATTTTTTAGTATTTGATAGTCAAATTACATAACATATGCAACACATGAACTATAGCTAACATCAAACTTCAAAAGTCTCCAGCATGCCTCACCTGATGTGATGTACAGACAGTCTAGAAATGCTTTAATCTCATCAATGCAAATGCATGTGCTGAAGATTTTTCTTGATTTTGGTGTTTTCCATTTCCACTTGGTTTAGATGCCATGGGTAAGTGATACCTGAGCGGTGGATGTGGTGGTGATTGAACAACTAATGTCAAACGAGACCTTAAAAAATCCATCCTCTATGAATGGCAAAAAACATTCATCTCAAACACAATTTATTACTAGTCAAATCATATTTGGTAATATCACTTATGGATCATACCAATAAACAACCATTTAGTTTGGGTCTAAATTATATTCATTACACTAGCTACCCAAAAGAAAATGCACACCCAAATCTAATGTAAATTTTGAAATTTTCTTTACTGTATAGCTAGATGGTCGATATTATTGTTTCATATGTATAATTATATGAACTCAAATAGACCCAAATTGTGAGTTCAACTCAAATAGATGCTCTCCTGCTCTAGCTCACCTCCCCATTCCACAAGTCGGTAATTTAAAGTAATCCGGCCAACGGGCCGAGTTAATTGCTAATATATTTTAACTTTGGCTAATACCACTAGGAAACCCGAACTATCAACAATGTGTCATTTGTGTTTCGAACTATTCAATATGACATTTGTGTCCCGAACTATTATAGCTGTGTGTCATTTATGTCCTTACGATTTCGTTGACCGTTATAAATAACGGTTGACCAGACGGTGGTCAACCTGACATTGACTTTTGCTGACGTGACAAAAATGTAAGATGGCATATCATTCACACCTCATTTTTAAAATTCAAAATTAAATATAAAATAATATAAAATAACTAATATTAAAAAATCTGTAAACTCAACAGTGATAATAGAAAAAAAATTAAAAGAATATCTTCCCTGCCGATTCACCTCTCTCTCTCCATAAAAAATTTCCCCAATGCAAGGATACATTGCATCTGTTCCCCTTCCCCAAATTTATCCAGATCGAGCAAATTTTTGCAAGCTCTTCTTCACCCCTCTCGGTGATTTAGCCCCCACTGGTGACGATCAACCTCTTCTACTTTCTCGTCGCATGCCACCGATGCGACCGCTTTGTCCGATCTCCTTGTTGGATCGACGATGGTGGACGTGCGGCTGTGGCCTGGAGTTTCCGGCGGCTCGGGAGTCGGGAAGCAAAGGAGAGGATTCGCAGAGGAGGAGTGTTTTGGTGATGGCGGATGTTTCAATTTCCAATTTATTCATTAAAATATTTTAACTAATAGGGAAAAAAAATAATAAAAATTTCATGTCAGATGTCACATCAGTGTTGATTAGATTTTCTGTTAAAAATTAACGATCAATGTCGGTTAACTCAAACAGAAAATATTCAACGAAAAAAAACTCTAACAGAAAATATTCAACGAAAATGTCGGTTAAAAAAATTAACGATCAATATAACTTTTGATTAACTGGATGGCTAAACCTCGCCCTAATTTAGCTTTATCGCCCTAGCTTAAAAATGTAAATTACTTAAATAACCTTAAAAAATTAAATAAAAATTGACAAAACAAACAATTCCTATTCTCCTTCGTCGAAGCAAACATCTCAAGGAATTACAGGTCGCCGATCCGACGAGGCAGAGCAGGAACAAAACAGATCCCAGTTTGCAGTAAAGTCACATCGCCGTCAAAAGTATCTCCGCCGCCAAACCACCTCCGCCATCGGGAACTACAACTGCGAATTCATCTCCCATACACCATCTAATCACGATCCTTGAACTCCGGAAGCACCTCCTCGCCTTCCTCCATGGCGACGGCACCACTTCACCGCCCGATTCACCGCAACCAAACTAGATAAAAAGCCTTACAATATAATATCCTAATCAGCTAGCATAAGAGGGGTATTCTAATCAGCCGGCCGTTGTAGAGAAAAGATGTGTCGATCGCTCTGCAGCAATTTCTATTGGCGTCGTCTCCTCCTTGGTTGGTCTCGCAGCGTCGAATTAGCAAAACTTCTTACATTAGTCTTTCCTTCTTCGTTGGCTGCTTATTCTGTGTACGTCCCGTTCTCTATAGACCGTACTTGTGCGAAGCCTATCAAGAACGGTGATGTTGGCAGCGAACAGATATGGCAACTACTGTACAATCCATTAAATGCCGCTGTGATGGAAGAACAGAGAAGGTCCGTAAAGATGAGCTGAAGTGGTGAAAGAGGGAAGGAGTTACGGACTGAAATTCAGGAGAATCCGAGTCGCCGACGACGATTAATAGAGAGTTTGGTTTGATTGCAGCTATGGTGATAAGAGCGGAGAAACCGACAACAGGGGAGGATGGCTGATTGGTGTGTTTGTTATTAAAATATGATTTGTTTGTTAATCAAGTATATGTCCAACTCTGCTTGTAACATGCATTTTTCTTTTAACAATCAACGGGAACGAGCATTTTATTGGGCGACGCCGGAGGGGGTTGTAAGTTCGCCCTTCCTCCAGAACGGAGGTGTTTGTTAAAATAAAAGATTAAAAAAAATAAAAGGATACAAATGTAATTTTAGATTTTATGTTAGGGTGATTATCAATGCTGTCAAAGTCGAGCCGGAATATGACCCGGTAACGTGAACGGCTCGGTCATTAGTGGTCCAGCCGGCATTAGACCGTTTAAAAAGCGTTTGAAAACCGGTACATTATAAACAATATAATATCATAGTAGAACACACATAAAGTAATAATTCAATGATTTAATGACTAAAAATGATAATTACAGGTACCATTTAATAATTCTACACAACATATATATACAGCAACTAAAAAAATCCTAACCTAATCCTAAGCGACAGTGTCGCTTCCCCACCCATCACTCTCCTTCCTTCCGCTTCCCCATCCCCCCTCCCTCCTCTCCCACCGCGACACCTATTTTCATTTTTCAGCCACTATAGCCTTCTGCAATTCCTCAAAAATCCATCACCACATTCAATTCTTCGTCATCCTTTCTTAACCCGTAAATGCTCTTCCTCATCCCAATCCGCGAATGGATCGGATTCAATCCAAGCCTCTGGTGAGACAGGGCAGCTTAGCGGGGAGCTGCTTGCGATGGTGGCGACGGGATGGAAGCGCCGGGAGCGGGGAGCTGCTTGCTACAACAAGGACTGGCGATGGCGATGCGATGGCGACTGGGGATGGCGATGCCGTCGAGAAGCGTCGATGCCGGGACAAGAGGTGTTGACGGCCGATTCCACGATTGGCCTTTTCTAAATTTTTTTTAGGATAAACCAAACGGCCGAACCGCGCGACCGGCTTGAGCGGCTCGAGCGGTTAACCGCTTCGGCCGCTCGCCGACCGCTGTATAAAACCGTGGCGGTTAAATAGCTGATCCGAGCCGGTTTTACGGCCGGGTGGCGGCTTTGGCGGTCCGGCCGGCCGGCTCGGTTCGACTTTGACAGCACTGGTGATTATAGTAAAACATAGGGCGACAATTAACAACTCCCTTGATTAACTAGCTTCTGGCCGGCTATCTTTATTATACACGCAATCACAAATAGTACTCAGTGGATACACCGCAATACACGCAATCACAAATAGTGAACATAGTATGGATACACCGTTACAATATCTAACGTACATTTAATTTTAGAGATAGTTATACAATGAATTGCGATTTCTATTTAATTTCCACTATGATTTTTCACAGTGACTATTTGCTAGTCGTGTAGTGTTTAGGAGGTTCTCGAGCAACTATTTCCTTTCCTAAGTCGACTAGAAGTCCCGCTGGGGTAATAAAAATCGTGGTAGGTAGGCTACAAATTCATCTGTTTTCCGATCCCATGGTATAAACAAAATCCCCTGAAAGAAAACCCCCCGGCCCCCATCAGTTCGTTCAATCGACGACGGCAATGGCGGCTTCCGGCAAGCGCAAACCCTCATCCTTCGCCGCCGCAGTGCTCTTCCCCATCATCCTCTACTGTATCCCACTGTCGATCTTCCTCCTCCATCCCTCCTCCGACGAAACCGCCACCACCGTCGTCAACGTCAGGGCGGCCCTACTCTCCCGGGGCAACTACTCCGCCATGATCCCCGACCTCGTATCCAAGCTCCTCCATCACTACCCCGTGGGGGCGGAGGAGGAGGCCATCACCGTCTTCGTCCCGTCCGACGACACAGAGTACGAATGGTGCGAAACGGAGCGCCCGGAGGTCCGCGTACTGACGGGCCGGGTCGATCGGGAGTCGTTCGGGCCGGGCAGGCTGTCCTACGGGTCGGTCCTGCGGCCCCGAGACGGCGGCGGCAGCCCGATTCGGGTCACGGAATCCGCCGACCACAGAGGTGTGGTCGTGGATTGGGGTTTGTACGATGACGGCCGCCGCCTGGTCGTGCACGGGTTGCGCGGCCGGACGGTCCCTCGGCACAGATGGGTGCGGACCGGGCCGGGATGGTTGGTCGTCTCGGGTCTGATTGTGGAGAAGAGAGGACCGCGGGACCCTCGTTGCCCCGACCCCGACCCGGATATGATGCCGAAAAACAAGGAGGAGGAGGAGGCCTACAGGAGCGAGTATGTCCGGCGGGTGGATGGCGGCCCACTCCCAGCATTGTTGCATAACGGCCCATTCCTACGATTCCATTGCGACCGTAAACATTGCTACTAGAGGGAGGGATGGGGAAGGTGGAATTAGATTCGAATTTGAAGGCCCCTAACTGAATATCAACTGTACAACTACTCGATTATGATTGCGTTCGTATTTCTTTTTTTTTGTTTTTTTTTTTGTTCCATTTATGTCGGATTATTTGATGAGTTATTGCAGCAGAAATAGTGGTTCTATTTCACTCATAATCTGGCTGTTTGATTTGATTTGGTTTTGTTTGGATTGGTTTGGTTTGACTCATAATCTGGCTGGAGTAACACACTCTTCACTTGGGTAAATTGCAAGTTTGATCACTGGAATTACTATAAATGTTCACGTTTGCCACTAAGATTAGTTTATTCCATCCACAGTCACTCAAATTAGTTATACAATCCAAGTTTGGTTACTGGCCATTAGTCTCCGTTAACTTTTGCTGAGGTGGCAGTCAACTCTCATAGTTGACCATTAAATAGGTGACGTGACAATTAAAAAATAAATAAATAACAAAATTTAATATATTAAAAATTCCACCTCATTATTATCATAATTAATAAACTAATCTCTCTGAACATTTCGTTAGGTTTGTTAGCATCTGTTACACCCCGACATTTAAGTCTAGGTTCGACCGAAAAATTGGATCGACAATTACGGACGAAGGATTCAACCATAGATTAGAGATAATAATAATAATAACTATGATTATTATTATCATCATCATAAACACCAACACCCGCCCTTTCCCCTTCAACAACAACACATTGTTACTATTATCATTATTATTATTATTATTATTATCATAATCCCCATCATCGCTTCAACCTACCAATTCCTCCCTAACCAAACTATCCCTTTACCAAATCCTTTATAATTACTGAGGTCATCATCATCAGCCGCATTGCTCTTCCCATTGGCAGCAAAAAGAGAGATAAGAAAAGGAAGGAATAAATCCCAAAACCGTTACAAGTTACGTAACCCCCATCCCTCCCCGACGTGTCTTTGTTTTTCCATGTTAAACGTCGCTCTTCCCCGTTATAGTTTTTCCCCACCGTAATCGAGAGGAGCGAGAAAATCATAAGTTCCACCCAGGGCTCAGCAATAAGTCTCTCTTTCAGCTCGTCCCTGCAGCAGCTTTCGACAATCACTAGCGGGAGAGAGAGAGGGTGACATTGTCACCGATTGCTCCTCCGCCGGCCGATCAATCCTTCCCAGTTCGTAGGAATCGCAATCACGAAGGTAAGGAATCTGAAGTCAATCTATTTGTGGCTTGAGTCGGTCGTAAGCTAACCCCAATCCATGAACCATATACTCACGGAAGGTTACGGAGGTTCATCGGAAAAGGTACGTCGGCGACTCCGACATAGTCGACTTCAATAAAGCTTCGAAATATGGGTACCATCATGAAGAGGGAAATCTCAGGAGCGTCACGGTGTCGACGAAATCAAATTCGGACGTCGGATGAGGGAGAACCGAGTCTCCCAAGTTTGAGGAAGAATATGTCAACGATCAGGTACCATTCTTGGAAATTCGAAAAGGTTGGGAGATTAAATGTGTAATTTTCCCAGAGGTCGTGGTCAACTGTGTTGACTGGAAAATTTCAGTTGCGGTACTTGGTACTTCTAAACTAACAGGATATATGTTTTGGTCATAACTCGATCGATTGACGTCCAAACGAGGAACCGTCGGCGCCTACGGAATTGTGAGAACGAGGAGAACTTAATTGGAGCGAGTATGGAAATTTTAGAGCGGAGTCAGAGTCGTTTTCGAGGAATTTGAGGTGAGTGTAAATGGGGTAAAATCTCCGTCGAGGTCTTTTAGTTTATGTCTTTTAATTCAGTTATGTTATTTAATTTTCAAGTAAGCGCGATTATGTGTGTGAGGCATCCCACCGCCTACTTAAGGTGGAGGCACGCGGTGTGCTATTTATTTGATGTATGATTGATGGTAATTGAACCCCCGGGCGGTTGGGCCACTACTGGACGCGGTAGATGGTCGGGTCACTACTGGACGGCGATACGTAACGCAGTAGTTGACCGGGCATGGACTGGACGGCGATACGTAACGCAGTACCATTGCCTTGAGGATAGGGACACCGGACGGCGATACGTAACGCGGTGATTCCCTAGTAATAAGTATATGAGTTAAGGTAGTAGTAGAGAACTTCTATGATTTAAGGATAAAAGTTGAGAACCTCTATGAGTTAAAGTTGAAATGAGTTACTAAGAATGAAAGTGAGAACGACTTTCATCTAAGGAAAGGAAATGCTAATAACGTGTTTTAGCAAGGAGATTTCTAAGGGCAAAGACCTTAGGAAGTAACGACGAGACTGACCCCTTCTCACTCACCAGGTTGAGGAAGGGTTAGCAAAGGTGGATCCCGAGAAGAGGCAGTGTAAGGCGAGCTACTGCACCAGCATGGACGAGACCTCAACGAACTTTAGGTCTAGGAATTTAGATTCAACACAATACTGCTCTTTTGACACTAGCATCCTTAATTATAGCATGTTCTTATCGTTGATGCCTATATCTGACAATAGGTTGATCCTAGGCTTTTAAGATAAAAGAAATAAAAAAATTGATGTGACACTACTATTCATTAAAATCACATAAAAAACCTCTATATAACAAGGACCAGGAAACCTTACCGGACCGGCCGGTCGGACCGGGAAAATCGGAAACCGGACCAGGCCCGGCACAATAGGGGCTGTGTACCCTTCAATTTCCTGCCGGGCGGTATTTTCGGTTGGACCGCAACAAACCGAAATTTCGGCCGGTTTTAATAAAACCGGCAGACCCTTAATTAAATGAAAAGGCGCCGTTTTGACATAAGATTTTTTTTAAAAAAAAACGGAAGCAAAGCAGAGATGAAAAGTCGAGAACCCTACCTCTGCTGGCCTTGCTAGCGCTCTTGTCTCTACTTCTCATCTCCCCCCGCCGCTCTGCCTCTCCAAGAATCTCGTCGCTGCCTCTACTCTCTCGTCATCCCCAGCAGCAACCAAACGCCGCTCTGATCTGCATTTTCGATTTTTCTTCTCTGCTTTTCCTCTGCTTTCTCTGAAATTCCAATTCCTCAAACACTTCGCCTTCCATAGCTGGGTATCTTCGATCCATGTTCCTTACACGCCGGCGAGGCGGCGACGCGTCCTCCCTAGCAGCCAAATTCCACCGAGACGCATCCTCCCCAGCAGTCAATCCCACCGGCGACGCGTCCTCCCCAGCAAACGCGTCCTCCCCGCGCCGGAGAAAGAGGAGTTTCCTTCGTCGTTAGAAGTAGTGTGCCTTTTCTCCTTCTCCCTTTTTCGCTGCTTCTAGTCTACTTTGTACAAAATCAAATGAAAACATTGAAATAGGTTGATTTACTTGATTCATGGGTTAGTAAACAGAACTCAATTGATGCTTTGGATGAAGATGAAGGATAATATTGAGTTCTGTTGGGGTAAAATTAACAAAGCATTATTTTACAAATTGATCTCCTTTAAAAAATTGCTTTCTGTTGGCTGAACACTAAAGTTTAAACTTGTGGTTGTTGAACATTAAGCTTGTGGTTTGTGAATATTAAGCTTGTGATTTTGTACTAGTTTCTAAAAATGTATTTGGATAATTATGAGGTTTATTAGGTATTGAAATCTCGCACTTTGTTGAATGTTACCTAAGCTTTTTTACTCTTTTACGGTTTCTTAGGCGGTATAATCCGGTTTTATTCCGGTATTTTTCCGGTATGGTACCCTAATTTTGCCGGTACGGTTTTTTAACAAAAAAATATTTTTTTTATTCCAAAAACGGTATTTACCGGTAGGAAATGGTTGAACCATGGTTGTACCACGATTTACCATGCCAAAGACGATTCCGGTTTGATGTCCGGTACGGTTTCGTAATCCTTGCTATATAATATATATAATAATAACTTTGTTGCTTAAATCAAGGAGTTTAGGTTGTGTTCCTTGACAATTTTGGTGGAGGATCTGGAAGGGATAAGATAACTCGTTTTGGACGGGGCACCTAGTCCCATAATCTCGACACATGCCCACCATTTTATATAGAGATTGAAAACCTATCCTGTATTCGGTCAATGTAGGGATTCCACTCGTTGATTGGGTCAGATACCCACAGTAATGGCAGAATTGCCATCTGTATATTTGCTTGAAGACTTCAGTTATATTATTATTATTATTATTATATATATATATATGGTTCAGGCTGGCGTACGCCCGGGCGTACGTTAGACTACCGTACGCCCATTTGAGTTTTACTATTTAGATCATGAATTAACCGGAGTTTTTGGCATGATACTATACCCTAAGCACAAATGGATAAACCCCAGTCCCAAGTTTTCTAACCCAAATCATGAGATTCATTTAATCTTAAAATGAAAATCAACAATAATTTAGACGAATCAGAACCGTTGATTTTCATTTCAAGATTAAATGAATATTATGCTTTGGGTTAGCGAATTGCGGACTGGGGTTCACCCATTAGGGGTTATGGTATAGTATCATGCCCCAAACTCCGGTTAATTCATTGTCTAAATAGCAAAACTCAACGGGCGTACGGTAGGTTAGGGTACGCCCGGGCGTACGCTAGCCTTTGCCATATATATATATATATATATATATAGGCAAAGTATATTGTTAGGACATCACAAGCATTAGGCCGTTTGGGGGATAGGGCTTTAGATAGAGGGCATTTAGAAAAGAGCATTTGAACACCACATTCATGAGAAAATAAGACTTGGATACTATATTATGAATTTATTGGTTCCAATAACTCAAACGGTAAAAAAAAGAAAAAAACTAAAAACGCATCTTATATCATTCCATAACAACACCTCTCGATACAATTCCACCTGATAAAGGCACTCTCTCGGCAAGAAATCCATGCGCTTATATTATGGTCACGTCCATAGAGCCTTCAGAAAGGGCAGACGATCCTGGGGCATCCCATAAAGTCTATCGTCACAAGCAGCCCAACTCCCGAAACCAGGTTCACGAGAATCGTCATCGTACGCCACGAAAAAAATACGCTTATCTTCGATCGCGAGTTTGCACCAAAAAAGTGTCCCGCCAAGTAAATTTGTCCCGAAATCCCAATGGTACGTAGCCCCAACGGCTACCGCATGGCCTCCAAGGTCGTCGTCTTTGGATTGACAATGCACAGTCAATATTTCTTCACAAAAAGTGTCCCGCCAAGTAAATTTGTCCCGAAATCCCAATGGTACGTAGCCCCAACGGCTACCGCATGGCCTCCAAGGTCGTCGTCTTTGGATTGACAATGCACAGTCAATATTTCTTCACTTAATAGATTGGTAATGTAAACCGCTGCTGCCATCGAATCCGAAGGACGTGCCATAATGATGATCATTATGGTCGCCAATGCTACCGCCGGTAGCAATGCCTTGTTGATAACACCATTGCAATGCTATCGCCGGTGTTTTGGTGATTGATCAATGCCAATTCCTCTTTATATAGTGGTTTATCTGATGAAGAGAAGATTAATTGCAGCTCGTAAAGCTGGGTGCTGCTTTTGCTTGTTATTTTGTGACGGGAGATGTTGTCGTTTTCGGCATACGCTGATGCCGTTTTCCAAGAGTTACCATCGAATTAAGGAAACTCTTTTCCGACTTTTACCCTTTTAATTTTCGCCGGCGATTCCAAAGCATTCCAAACCGGACGGCGGGGCTGGTCCAACTCAGAAGAGATCATGGGTCGTCTAGATATATTGTCTCATCTAATTGTGTTGATTACGTACGTAATTAATGGTAAATAGTGGATTGTTAAATTTAATTATACATATGTGTAGATTGATTATACATCACTTGAAGAAATCAATAAGCAGAATAAGAAACAATCCCACAACTCACTATTTATCAGTGCTGTCAAAGTCGAGCCGAGCCGGCCGGTCAAGCCGAGAAAATCGCCACCCAGCCATAAAACCGACTCGACTCAGCTATTTAGCCGGAGTGGTTAATTGGGCGGTCGGCGAGCGGCCGAAGCGGTTAACCGCTCGAACCGCTCGGCCGGCTTTTAGCATTTGGGCCGGTTGCTTTAATAAATAAATAAATAAATAATGAAAATCGAAAATGAAAATAAAAGGGGCTGAATGAAAACCTGACCCTAATTCAATTCATTTCTTCCCACTTCCTTCGCGCAGCCAGACACAAGACGGAAGAACGAAGAAGCCTCACCCTCCGCAGTCTCCGTTGATTTTCTCTTCTTGGCCACCTCTTGATTTTCCGCCACACTCAAAGATGGCGAGATTATAGAAATCGATCGGAAGTACTTTCTTGACTTCTTTGTCAGATTGATGTTCAAGGATGATTCAAAAGAGGTGTGGGATCTTGTAAATGAGTTTCTCATGGAGGAGCCTTTCTCTTCTCTGTGTCACCATCTCCTTATAGTTATAGAAGAGAAGGAATTCTCTTCTTTCCTTGAGTTGCTTCGTAGGAATCTAAAACCCAGGTCTGAAGAAGGTGGGGTTCTTTCTTGGCTCGAGATAATCCTTTCTGAAAACGGCGGGTCTATTGATCCGGTTCTTTTGGTCAATGGGGTCATAAACCATGGACGCCATCTCTTGAGGCTACTTTGTGACGAGGATTTCAAAGTTGTGCAGAATTCTCAGCGATGCTAACACCTTGAGCCCTCGGCAGAGAGAGTGCTTAAAGGAGAAAAAAACAAGGGAAGAAGTGATGTTCTAGAATGGTTTAAGAGAGTAATTTACTTGTGGTTTACCTGTTGGAGTAGTCAAAGAGTAAAGGAAATACCATATTGGTGGGAGAAGGAAAGTGCAAGTTGTTTTTAAGTTTGCTTTCCACTTTAGTTATTGGATAAAGTGGTTAGTGGGCTTTTGGAAAAAGTGTGGGCTATTTAGTTTGACATATTAAATTGCACTTAGCACTTAGCACGACGCGTTCGAAAATTGATTTTTTGGATAATTAATTGGATTTAAGTTTTGTGAAACGACGCAACCCTTGAGAAGGGAACTGCCGTTTTCTGAAATCTTATAAGAGACGTTGGCCAGAAGGTTGAGTTCAAACGTTCATCTTCTTCTCCTCGTTTTTCCTTCTCCAAAAACACAAACACAGAAGTCAGAAAGCAAATTGGAAATGTACAACGATAACTTTTTCTACCAATTGGGGCCCTCCCTTCACCACCACCACGGCTCCTCTCTTCTCGAGAATCCATACATCCCCACGCGGCATTGCTCCGTCAGGCTTTCGCCCATTGCGGAAAATTCCCCACTGCTGCCTCCCGTAGGAGTCTGGGCCGTGTCTCAGTCCCAGTATTCAAGTTGAGAGAGATAAATTGAACAATTATGGTCGCCCCCTATTGGGATGTACTATTAAACCGAAACTGGGCTTATCCGTCTTTAAACTTTTTTCAAAAAAATGAACAAAATTTTCACTAAAATAAGGAGTCTTTATGTCACGTTACCGAGGGCCTCGTTTCAAAAAAATCCCGTATCAGGATCGGAACTAAGAAGAATGGTTGGGACAACAAATATCCATCTCGTTGGTATTGCTGCTTTTAGACTTTGGTTGAAGGGACTCTTGGGGGTGGTTTGCCTAATTCCTACCAGCAACGAAGTAGTGGGGGCAAATAACACTCTAAGGAGAGTGATAAATCACGCCTTCAATCTTATTCTCTCCATACTGTTTCCCTAACATTACCATGATTAAGAAGTGTCTACTATTTAAACAGATGACTGTTTATTAGGTATCGGTTCTCAAACGGTTTTTAAACGGTCTAATGCCGGCTGGACCACTAATAACCGAGCCGTTCATGTTACCGGGTCATACTCCGGCTCGGCTTTGACAGCATTGCTATTTATGTGATTTCCTCTTTCGATATGAACGAGATCACTACACTACGCGGATAATAAAAGGAAAACAAAATACAAGAACAGTGTACAGACATCGCACAGCAAAATATGTCCAGGGGTTCAATCATTTGCCAGCACATCAGTCCAAATACAAATAGAGCTCCACAATTTGTTTCTGTCGTAGCAATATAACATGCAATGGGGTTGACCTTAGATCTCATTATCCTCTGTTTACCCATAAAAAAAACTAACTTGTACTGCATAGATTAATTCAGGGCATTTGATAGATTAATAAGGTTAGCTCAACATTAAACATTAAATGAGTTCATTAGACCTTATTGTGTTTGTTTTTTTAGGTTAAGTGGTCAAACTCCCTCTTCCATACAAAGGTGGCCGACCAGTCTCCCTGATCTCCATGGTCACCGGCCTCCTCCCCCTTGGTATGAAATATGACTCTAAAAAAACTAAGTCTGAAACAAGAAAGGCTTCGTAGCTAGCCAAGTGGGTACCAGACCGACAAAGCAAACTTGGTACTGAAAAATGAAATTTAGCCCAATATGGAGCCCCAAAAGTGAAGACGTTACAAGTATCTTGGTAGCAAGTAACAAGCCGACAAGATGATGCCATGTCAAGCCTTCCAACACTAAGTATGGAGTCTTGTTGATCGGTAAAGGAGCTAAGTTCTCATCCAATCAAGACATGATCAAGGTGACACGATGGAGGGTGATACCAAGATGATGAGATCAACATGGAGACCCGGTGATTATAAATAGGAGAATTGAAGACGGAAAAAGAATTCAACAACCAAACACTTGACACCCAATGTCAAAATATATACCAAGTAATCTCACTATCAAGCTTAAGGATATTAAGAACTATGGAGTTTGAAAATCCAGCAACAACCTCCACCCTTGCAAAGTCTTTTTTACAAAATATAATTGATTCAGAGAATAGAAAGTTACACCCTAGAATGCAGTCAGGCCTGAAAATCAAAGAAGCGACTCATAGTCGGTTACAAAGAGAGGGCCTTTCGAGCCACCAAATGGGCTACCCTATTGCTACGGCGACCTACAAATCGTACACTAAACCCCAGATAGCTGGCAAAGTACTGCACAACCTCGTCAAGAATAACCCCCATCCGGATATCTCTATCATCCGCCCCAATGATTTTGTCAATAATCACCTTCGCATCACCTTCAAACCTCATTTCCGTGAACCCATGGCCAAGACACCATAAAACCGCTTCACGGAGAACAAGTAAATCCACCACCATGGGATCATCAATTAATGTGAACTCCACTCCATTAACAAAAAGATATCCCGAGCATGATTTATTGATAGGGCAAAAGCGTATAGCTTCAATTCCTATCTTGTAGTAAACCGGAAAGTCCGGGTATCGTCTCTCAGGGACTGGTACAACCTTATGATTATCAACTCTGCGGGGTAAACTATAGGTGGAAATGGTTTGGTTGATGAAATTATTAACTAATGGCAAAATAATTAAACAAAATAAGCTAATTAAAACTTGTCGGGAGAAAATCAATGGGAGAAGCTCTGGGAGAAACACCGGGATTCACTACCTATCCTATCCAGATTAATTCACATATTCCAATCAATTTAATCCATATCTCTACAGCCAGGATATCACTACTGTGCTAGCTATCCCTGTCGGGAATGACTACGTACTAAACAATTAATTCAAATCCTACTGTCGTAGCTCAACGAATTAACTATTTAGCCTGAAGACTGATATCCCAATTAAGACCGCATAGCACCTTATTTAATCCACTGTCGCTTCGATAAGTTACTATGTCACATGAAACAGGTTCAGTTATTAGGGTTTCACTGTCGCTAATAACCTAATTAACTACGATTCATTGTATTGGTGGCCAGTCAACACAAAGCATTAAGGAATTTCATGCAATAGAGATTGGAAGAAAAGAATCATGAATCAATCCATCAAATCAAGAACTAGCTACATCCTATATGGTGTTTCCCCCAGAAATTGGGGTTTAGTTCATGACGAAATTAAGATAAAACATTAGGGTTTTGTTCATCATGTTCTAAATCAACAATAAACAACTAGTTCGGTTCAGAAAATCCAACCAACTAATCGCTCTCGTTGAACTCAGCTCAAGCCGCCTAGGAAAAACTCCATCGTCAATTGCCAATCGCCGCTCGATGCTCGCGTGTCCAAGCTTCTTGCGCTGCGCTCTGCTCCCTTTGCTTTTCTTTTTCCGATCCTCGCCCGGTCCAATTCTCCTCCTTTTTATCCGTGTGTCCAATTAAATCCCCCTCTTCCCAGAATTCCCTCCGGTCCAATTATTGCCTCTCCTCAAATAATTGCCAGCCCACTAATTCATCCCCCACGCTGCTTCCTCTTTTTCTTTTTTTAATTCCTTTCCCCCAGAGAGTTTTCGTGTCCCATTCTTTCCAAAACAATGGCCCAGCCCTTTCAATTTCCGTCCCAGAGCCCAAATCCAAAATCTCTGGCCCAAAATAATTCCTCCCTCCTGGCCGCTTCCCCTCCAAAAGGGAATCAACCGGGCCGCCAATTAGTCTAGCTAGCTGAGCTTTAAGTCCATCAATTGGGCTGTAGCCAAATGATTTGTTGTAGAAGAAATATGGATTCAATTCCTCCCGCTATCTCCTGCTTCGAAAGTTCCAGTTCTGCCATTTTATCACCTAGACACACACCAAAACTCCAACACAAAATGGTAATGGCTTTTCAACCATTACAGATTAATTCTCCTCAAAATAGCACCAATCGGCTTAAACATACCATGAGATAATCACATAAAGCTCAAGAATCCGATATATTAAAGCCGATTATCACAACCCCACACTCAATTGTTGCTTGTCCCTAAGCAACGACTCAAACAACACAAACACACAATTACCCAAAACAATGACACATTACAGACTCAACACTCAAAGCAACCACAAAATGTCCTTGTACTCTTGTTGTAATCAGTAGTTTCTTTCTAAAAAAAACAAGTTATGCTTTAATGATCATACCTTTCACCCCACACTCAAGTTCTTTGCAACCATTATCATTGACTGACTCAAATCCATCAAAAACTCAAATAGCAACACTCAATTTCGATCGTCGGTAGTGGGTGGTTAACAACTTATGGTGCTACAATTATTAGGAGAATCTAACCACATCAGTGAGGTGCATATCTCGTGAGGACAGTCTGGCTTACTCACACCAATCATAAGCAATTAATTAAGCACGAGTCTCAAAAACTAATGGGGGAAGCCTTTCGCAAACATGATTTTACTTTAAGCACATCACTACCTTTTATGACAAGGAGAGGTTTTCTCTCTTTCTGCTTTTGCTTGCCGAGAAGTCGTATTTAGTACAAGTGGGATTTGTTTCTTACTACCAGTGACCGAGCAAGAGCAATTTCTGCTTCTTAGCACTCGCATAAGGGCTTCTTTTAACTCCTTTTCCTCGGTCCGTGTGGAGGGTCATTGCATCCTCAAATGGCACTTCACTCAACTGGGGATCGTACTTGATAAGCAACATAGTACGGTCGCGAACCGATTCTCAATTGAATCTTTCCTCATCCCCATGTGCAATGAGTGATTGCCCTCACACGATTTTGGCATTTTGTACCCACACTTTAATTGTTATGGCAACTTCCTTATATTTTACTTGTCAGGTAGGATTTTTCTTTTTATAAAGATACAGTTCACCCCATCATAAAACATTCAAAACAGAGAGACTCGTTGCAAAATCAAAAACTCACAATTGATGCAAGTAAGCACGGTATCCAAACATGTCGAATGGTCAATGTTCTCCACCTAACTACTTCACCAAAAGTCATTACACTATCCTCACAAAAGAGAATATTGCTAAAAGAGTATATCATTCCAAGCATATCAAGTCAGTCAAAACATTTAAGCTCATTGTGAAGAACCATGCAATTCAACACTAGTGGGGTGATTTCGATGATTTCATTCAAGCACAAACTCATTTTCAAGGCATCACCGTCATTTACATCATGTTACCACAAGAGTACAAGGTTTTGTTTTTAATTTTTCTGATTTTTAGGTGTTTTTTAGCCATTAGCTTTGCACAGGCAGCTTGCTTTTTACACAGGCAAACCGCATGCAGTTTGGCTGTGCTCAACCTAATGGCAATTTTTTTTTTTTACAGAAACGATATACACCTGACGAGACACTGTGGACAACTCAGACTCGACATAAAACACGACAAGACCACAGACCATCCACCCCACACTCAGGATGGACATTGTCCACAATGTCTACAACTAGACACGACACACCAACAGGTTCACCTAACTAACATTATTACAGACCCACATCAGAAGTATTCACAAAGAAAAGAAGAAAAGAAAAGAAAAAAGAACCTTGGGACAAGCTCCTATGAAGGAGGGGTCGATGAAGAAGTGCTGAACTTCTCATCTAGACGCTGGTGTAGCTCCTTGATCATCTTATCTTTCTCTGCGTCTCTGGCT